AAAGAAAATCACTAACATACCAGTTTACATTTATTTAAATTATGTCAGTATTATTCATCAGTTGTTAACAGGACCAAAACTCTGCCTTTCCTGAACACGCTCGTTAAAGTTTTAATTTAAATCTGCTACCCTTTATTTACTTTACATGCTGGCTCTTAACTAATGAGACAAGCTTTTAATAATGCCTCTATCATCATGGTGACGGCAGAGGATTTATAAGAGCTGCATTAATGCGCACAGTAACACGGACATGTGGCCTTGTCTGGGAGACCTTGTGTGAGTATATATGAAACTGATGAATGACGACACGAGAATAAGTGTTCTCGCACGGCTCCGTGTGGGACTTCTCTCACAGTTTTGGGGTCACTGTGGATGTATATTAAGGTAGGATTTACCTAAAGGCTATATAATTGTACTGGGAGGTAAGGACAGTGTATTTTGTTGACTATAGAGTATATAAATCTAACAGTTTCTTTCTTTTGTGCCCTTCATCAGCTCACATGTGCAGTGTGGCAGTTTGGGGGGGGGGGGTCTTTTTTTTCCCAGACAGTCATGACGTATCAATGTTTACTTGTTTAACTCTGGTCATGACTTTTTCTTCACATTCCTGCTCTCCCTCAGTCATCAATACGCGCTCTCTTTCATCTCCTACTAAGTTTCAAAGCATTTGCAGTCTGTACGGTATTAACCCAAGCGTGCCCCCCATCCCAAAAACAGAGCCACTCTTTTCTGACCACACTGTGTGCCTCTGCTGCTTCTATGTATAAAGAGCAGCTTTTGAAAAAAATACCACAGAGTTGGCAACAATATAAAAAAAAAATGATGCATAGAAATAAAGAGTAGCCCATTTGAGATTTTTATAAAACCAAAACGCTCAAAGCTCTTTATTTGTATTTCTGCTGTTCTGTTACCATATACCAAAACTTTTCATTGACATTTGTTGCTACTGAGAGACGTGATTAGTTTAGTCTCATTCCAGATTCTCCCATTTTTATCTCTTATTAAAGCTATTTATTTATTTATGGGGGGTTTTAAAAAAAAGAAAAAGTCTAACGGGTTTATGCGTCCCTTTCAGAATTTTTAGTGTGTTTTAGTTTACTTGTTGAAGCCCTCTAAAGACTGGTAATGATTGACAGCTACTCCTGCCCTCCACCCCAGCTCCAATCGGTGCTTTTAGAAGATCACCCGGCGAGAGAGGCTTTAAAAGGGTTGTTTCTGACGTAATATAAAAGCTGCTTCTATTTCATTCCATTTCTATCATGTTGCATTTGAAAGCAAAAGATGAACACTTTTAAATGTCGAACTGGATGGATCAGATTTTACAGATCAGGGCCTTTTTACTACGAAGTACTGTTTGCACATGTAATGGTGCCAAGGAGACTGGGGTCCAGATGACTTCATACGCACTAACCTGGAAACCTGAAATATTACTAGAGTGCTTTTGAAGATTTTAAAGGAGGTGTGAACATTAATGACCTAATGAAAACAGGTCCAGCTGTAGTTCCATTTATGACGTACTGCTCTGATTTGGTGACGTCTCATACTTTGTTACGCCAAAATAAACCATAGTTATTAATTATGTGACCCTTAATATCTACAGGGGTGTCATCCTTTAGGTAGGGTTTAAGGTGTTGGGACATTTTTATAGATTTCCATTTGTTTGTCAAATAAAATATGCAATTACAGTAATATAATTTGCGTTGACTATACAGCTGAAACTCCTTACGAGGTCGCAGACTGATTTTTTCCAAAATACTGAATGACCATCCAGGGTAGATGGTAAAAAAAACAGAGTAATGATGTCAGAAAAGAGCCCGGGGTTAGAGACAACTGCGGTGTGCAGAAACTGTAAATCTAAAACCTCATCTCCCTCGTTTAAATTATTGGCTGACTTGCAAAGGGACGTTACCAGGTGGTTGGTAAAATAAGCAGTGTGTTGTTGGCACTCCAGCTGATGTGTCGTGACTATGTAACCTAGCTCTGAGAGCTGGCAGTGATAAAAGTCAGACTTTTAAGCAGCTTCCACAGAGATAGAGGGTAGTTCAGAGGTAGTTTTGGCGGGGGTTGGCCCTTTCTGTAGTAAATTTCTGGCATGCACACGACTCGTGACCTTGTTTTCTGTGTCATATTATGTTCATGCAACCAGCACTTCTCCCATCACATCAGTCTCTCCTTGCACACTCTTGGCCCTGCAGTGAAGATGCATCTGTGTCCTTGTGATTGGTGTACCTTGTTTCTCTCCTCTGGAATTTTTATTGTCACCATTTCTGAATGCAGGAGGAGGACACACCCATTGGTCACCTTATTAAGAGCCTGTTGTTTATCAAGCAGCTGAGTGAAACCTGCCTTATCGCTTAATGTGAAGATGAACATGGGATGTCTTTGTGCCTCATGGCAGCTTCCTCCAGTTTTTTATTATTGTACTCCTGTCTTATTGTAGGATTTAGTACACATGCACCTCTCGCACAGCTGTGAAAGAAGCAGCCAGTTACAGTAAAAAAACAAAATAAAAACATTGTTTCTGGTTTGAATTACATTCACATGGCTCTTAAAAAGGTGACCATAAGGTGCGTAACACAAAGACATTAATCCCTTTCAGTTATTTTGAAGGGGTCGTTACCTGGAGACTATACTTCTGTGTATTAAGTGTTCTATCTTTGTAAATGTTTTTTTTTATATACATAGTTTTTATGTTTTTGCAAGCAAATATTTGTAAGAAACGAATCATAACTTTGAATCTTAAATCATGCTGGAAAGCGCACCATTTTCTTGTACTTTTTATTTAAAAAGTAAATACATTTTAACCCTATTTCAAATCTGTGGTTTGGTGGAATCCTGTTTATGATCTTTTCATATTGTATTTTTTTACTCTAACATTGTTTTCTGTCCATGTTAACACATTACCAATATAAATCCAAGAACAAGCTGAGAAACTTTAAATAGATGTAAAAACACAAAAAATGTATATTTAATGGAGTAAAGTTTGCTAAACATTCTGGAATATAAATTGTGTAAACTAATTGTAGCAACAAAATGTTTTATTCTTTGTCCCTAAAACTATTTAATAAGATGTTACTGAATGAATTTAGTCTTCTGTCTTTTTTTTTTCTTTTTTTTTTTAATTGTCACCATTCCTCCTTTTCGCTCACACAGCAGCAACTAAATGCATTTAAGCATGTAGACATCGTCAGGACCACCTGCTGAAGTTCAAACTAAGCACCACAGCGTGATTTTAAGTGACTTTTGATGTTGCATGGTTGTTGATACCCGATAGGCTGATCTAATTATTTCTCAAACTGCTGGATTTTCCCGCACAGTCATCTCTAGGGTTTAGAGACTGGAATACAAACCAGGCAGAGCTAAAAGTGCTGCAGAGTCTCTCTCCCCTCCCCCCCCAAAACAAAACAACAACAACAGAGGGCACTGCCTGTCAAAATCTAGTTTTAAGTAATCTGATCCTGCACACAATGCACATGGTGACTGACAGACCCTTGTCTCATTTGCCAGTAATGTAGCTACAGAGCATCTCTAGACTGAGATGTCCCATGGGCTACAAAGCTTTCAGTCTTTAACATCGAAAAGCGTAAAATATCAAAATGTAATGAGATTTGAAACATTTTCTTTAAATTGTGTTACCCACAAAGATGATTGAAACTAAAATGAAAATATTTGATTCATTTTATTGAAGAGGTAACATGTTTGAATATTTGAGTAGCTCTAACCAGAGCTTTGGTCAGCACTATTTTATTTGAACTTTTTTTTTAAGGTCTTCTCAATGTAAAGAGTTGAATTATTTTAAACAACTAGAATCTGTTTTTCCTGTGTCGGTCACATTTTAATTTGCAGAAGATGGGAAAGTCAGTTAAGAAAGACTGAATTGAATTGAAACAATTTTGAAAGAAGGAAAATTACCTTCAATTTTCATTGCTGTAAGTTCAAAGGAACAATTTCCAGATTAAATGAGGACAAAAAAACAACAACTTGAGTTCCAATTAATGAATTGTGACAAGTAATGGGGACAATGGCTTTAGCCAAAATGTACCAATTTTGAAACCAAAAGGAAACAATACTTAACTGACATGTTTTTTGTAGTTTTATCAGTTGCATTAAAACTAAAATCGGGCTGAAACCAGCCATATGGTGCAGAGTGTGTGGAGAGAGGCCAAAGACTGAGTGAACCAGCTATTAAAGATTGGCCACATCCACAGTAAAACACACAGAACAGACAAGTAAAGGAAGCAACAACGAAAGCAAAACAATATACAAGTCAATAGATGCAAATATGTGAGTGCAGGCAGCTTCCTATAGTTCAGCAGGTGGTTATGTCTATGTTTTATACGTGTACAGAAAACAGAGGACTGTCTTTTATTGAAGAATGGTTGTAACTAGTTTATTCAGTGTTTTAAAGTTTCAGTATTAATAAGATTTTAAAAATTGCTAATTTTTATCATCAGAGTGAAGGCATGAAGAAAGAGTCAAAGAGACTCAGTGAAAACAGGAAGTACTTCCTCTTAGGCTTGTATGATGATTGAAGTTCTGATTAAATGTTTCAGTGGACCACAAAATTTTCAGCTCATGAAGATGGCTAGAAGTTGAAATGGGTTATGTCCATGTTGTGATGATCGAGGACGTCAGAGGTTACACCAAGTCTACAACAGTACTTTTTTAAGGAAAAGGGGAAAAGAAAACAAAATGTTTAGTCTTCATATAAAAAGGAGCTATTAAATATGGAAATTTGTTTCTGACACCAAAATTATTTATTTAAAAAATAAATTTGAAGGTATTTTTTTTTCAAAATGTAAGTTTCTCATTTAAACTTATAAGTTGAAATTTTGAGATGCATAACTCGAAATTTTGACTAGGCCAGTAATAAATAATGAAATACTTTTTTACAAGTTTATTGTATTTTGGCAGATCTGATCTTCCATAAGAGCCATAAACTAGCATGAAGTTGCACATGCGTGGACAGAGTTTGACGTAGGACATTGTACTTTTGTGTCGTGCTTCCATTAAATTGGGGTTTCTGTTGAATAATGTCCTTGCCTTCTGCTCTGCCATTGTTGTCCACTTCTCATTCATCTCCTCACGCAGCGCGAACAAAGACACGTCAGCCTCGCCCTCTGATTGGCTCCCTGCCGGGGCCCCGCGACGCTGCTGTGCCGCGAGCTCCGCCACAACAGATGGACCTCTCGCGCTCTCCTCCTCCTACCAGCTTCTGGATGCACTGCTGCACGCGCCCCGCTGATTGTGTCCAACGGCAGGATAACGAGCGACTTGTCCCAGGAGTTTTAACAGCTAACGCTCAGTTCAGGAGAAACGACTGGATAAACGACTGGAAGACGGAAGAAAAGGACCGAGGAGACCTATGTTAGGTGAGCCGTGAGAAGACTTCCAAAAGTCGGCACGAAGCAGACAGAGGGGTCGGTGTGGCTGAGTAGGCTGATCATGATGATGTGTCTGAGCGGTAGATGTGGCGATACGGGCTGGCTGCAGATGGATTCTTTGGTTGCCTGTATAAAAATGAAGTCTTAGTGTTTCGACAGCATCAAATGCAGGACGATTTGCAGATTTGTTTATTTATTAAAAGCGAAGGGGACACACACAGACTAAAAACCTCGAATATGAGGCATTTGTGAGGAAACATCAGGGCACCAAACATGATGCCCTAGCCTAAATCTTGAACAGCAAATGATAGGACTACCCCACTGGGTCTCTACCAGAGTGTGCATAAAGATGTGTCCTTAAAACGCGTTACATAACAAGAAAATAGGGCCGGATCGACGGAGGCAGTGCCAAAAAAAAGTGAATATTAATGTGCACTCACTTGCCAGTATATTGTAAACTGCAGTTTAATATATACCAGCAATAAATCCATCCACCATGGTGGATTCTGGTGTTTTTAAAGTGTTTTGTTGACGTTTGATTTAAACTTTTGGGTGATTTTAAAGATGAAAAAGAAGAGGTTAGGCAGCAACGAATTCGTAAAATGATCACAAAGTTAGGTAAGCGTAAATCACAATGTAAACATTAAAATGAAATGTTTTCACAAATACTGGACCATATTTAGTTTTGGTAGCTAGTACCAGTCAACTTTAGGTTTCCCTTATTGATTTGTGTTGAGTTATTCTCTAAAATTTTGACCATTACAAATATCAAAATGGTGTTTTCAAGTTCCCATAGCCCTTTCTGACATCTCAAATGCTTTGACTGCCAGTTCATCTGGATGCTTTTATTGTTTTTGACACCATCTTAGGAAAGTTTTAGCCTGGTCTTTACGGCCCTTGCAACAGTCAATGTTTATGTGATCAGTGACAATCAATGACAACACAGCCCCAGTCTTCACCCGACCAATAACTAGATAAATACCCACACACATACACAATAGGCCATTGTTTGACATTTAAAGTTATTTTCTCAGAAATTTGAGTTAATAAGTCAAATTTTAAAATAGTAATCCAAAATTATGACATGTGGGTGGTTAAAAAAAACAAACTTCTATAACAGACTAGGCTGAAACAGAAAACTAATTTATTTTCCTTTTAACATCCCATCTTTCCTGCAGCAGTCTCCCTCTGTGCTCCTGCTTTGATATATAATTAAAATCTAGTGCCACACACACATTTGTTCAGGAATCAGGAGGTGCAGTGATAATTGTGGTGTCACTTTTGAAGACACTTGGAACAACAATGGCAAACCTTAACTTTCTGAACCTCAAGGGGAGCAATTAAATGGACTATTAGTGACAGAGAGCAAGAGAAGTGAAGGGGCATCCACGCAGGAACGTGGTGATCAGAGTCCATAGAAAATCTGTAAGGTAAAACTCTAACATTTCCTCCCTCTTTGCAATTTTTTCCGGAGCTGTCCTCTCGGCCAAAGCAGATCACTTGGGTTGCTGGTTTGGGCCCACAAGTTATATTTTTGATACCCCTGCATAATAGACATTAAATTATGAAAGACGAAGTTACGAAAGACCAGAGTGCTGGAAAATTACACCAAATTAAAGAGCACCAAATTTATACCGAGCTCTATGTACTTTGAAGAACTGTAAATAGGAAAATATTTGTAGCATGGTTAAACTTTGCATGGCGTCATTATTTCACAAAAAAGTGGGTGTGCTTTGATTGACGGAGATGGGAATTTCTTCCAGATTTAATTGACTTTATGTGAAACAAACCAGCAGCTGATCAACTTTAGCTCTACCATCTGCTGAAAGGGAAGAAAAGCTCCGTCTTTATCTGGAATCTGGGAGCCATATTCGGATTCGAGTCATGCTTCACAGTGTTGTTTTTTTTTTTGACAAGCCCAGTAAGCCTAACAAGGAGCAGGAGAGACGAACAGACACACACACACACACACACACACATACACACACTATTTTTGGCTCAGTGTTGTGAACTAGTTTCGGGAGCTCAGATGTTTTTGGTGTTGCTATGACAATAATGACAATAGCAAGGCAGAGCAGTGGTAACGTGGAGGCTGAAGGCAGGGGAAGAGGACAGGAGCTATTCATCGAGCATTTCAGCCAAAGACATTGACAGAGGAGGTTCAGAGGGAGCAGGGCAAGAGGGCAGAAAACAAGCCGGGAAGGGGGGGGGAGTCTGGAGGAAGTTGTGATCCTGGTTTGTAATAGTGTGTTAGATAGCCTCTAGTCTTTCACAAGGAAACATGAAGCAGCAAACTGTGAACAGAAAGCAGCAGAGTTACTGTGGTACAAAAATGCTGAGGCAATGATGAGACATAAATATATATAGAAATAGGGGGAAGATGGAGGCTGCGGGTTGACTGAGGTTGTAATGAGGCACGGGGGGATTTCAGACGGTCGATTAGCTCTACATTTGGACACAGAAGAGCACTCTGATCTGAAACAGGACTAGGTCAGCCGTGGGTCAGTCTGGCTAGATTTATATGCTGCTGGTTCTGCTATTGCAGCCACAGCATCCTGCAGAGCATTTCTGCTAACACAAGAATCTCTTGTTATAACAGACAAAAGTGATCAATGGTTTGGAGATGTTTCAGTTAAACAGGGTAACTGCATCGAAATCTGGTCTCTGAGCATGTTATGGCCTGCTATTGTTATTATTGTTATTATTTTGATTTAAAAAAAAAATAACACGTGAGTACTCTGCAGTGGGCTGCTTATGATTATTTGGAGCTTTAGCTTTGCATTTCCATTACAGTCATATGTTTTGATACATTTATGGAGTTCTAAAACTAAAACAATATAAATTGTTCACTTTTTTTTACTACCAGAGTAAGAACTTGAAATGGAGCGAAAAAGAAAAAAAAACTGTTAAACATTTATAGACCTCTTTTGAAACTTTGAATCACATTTTTTGTTTGTGCAAATGAAACACATTAAAAGTAATAAAGTTTATAAAATATAGCAGTCTAATAGTTTTACAACAGTAAAAGTGAATTTGAAGCCCAGCTGCAGATTAGTTTTTGCATCAGTTTAGCCATCGCTATCATAATTCAGCAAAATGAAAAGAGTGAGGTGCCAGGTAAACTAAAAATAAAATGTCTAAAGAATAAGTGTTGTTCATAGTAGAAGTGGGTTCAATTATCTAAAGCGACAGACAGTACAGAGTTGAAGAAGAGAGTGTACCCTGGGTGCAGTGGGTGGAGATGAGTGATTAGAGTGAAAGGGAGGGTTTATAAGATGGTAGTGAGATGTACTATGATTATAGTTTGTAGTGAGTGACCCTGAAAAGAGTTGAAGATGCTCTCACTCCCAATGACTGACCAATGCTGTATTAATTTCTAATAATGTATTCATTATAAATGGATACTTCAGAAGGACAGGTTAGGTCGAGACAAAGTTGGAGAGTTAAGGCTGAGATGGATTGGACATACAGAGGAGGGACAGCAAATACACCGAACAAAGGAAGGTGAATATGGAGCCTGCCAGGCAGAAGGAAAAGACCACAGAGAAGATGGATGCAGTGAAAGAGGACATGTAGAGGGGCAGGTGTGATACAGGAGGATGCTAGAGGCAAGGTGAGATGGAAGCATCTGATCCACTTTGGCAACCACTAAAGAGAGCAGCCAAAAGAAGATCATTTGTATTCATCTAGTTTTTCATTTACAACCCCTAAATTAAATAATATGTTGTCTCGTATTAGATGATTGACACTGCTCTAAAATAACAGTGAAAAGAACAAAATGGGTGTCTCACCATGAATGAGCAGTGAGTATGGCTCACATTTTTAATGTTGCCCTCTCAGCAGCGTTAAAAGTGACATGTCTGGGTCGATCTTTTTCTCTGGAGCTTGAAGTCTCATGAAAGAAGGATCAATTTTGTTATCAGATGCCAGTTTAGTTGGCATAAAGTTCACGTTGATCTCAGACAATTATGGCATTGTTTTTGTGTTGTCAGCTGGCCACATGTCCGTCGCAGACCGCTGCCTTTGACCGTGATAATAAAGGCTAATGTCTTCCATTGTGTAGGTCAGTGCTTAGCTTTTGAGCTCTTGACAGGGCTAATATAGGTGATGAAATATTGATAGCCCCTGGCTGATTGGCGTTAAATATTTAATTTGTCCACATTAACTGAAGCTTTTTATTTCAGAGATTGACAGCCTCATCTTATTTTATCAGCGCTGCGTGTTCAAGCTGCTTCTGTTTACACTAAACTGTGGAAGTATGTGCCTGATCCAAGAGTTTAAAGATTGATAACAGGGTGAGGCTCGTCCACGTGTGTGTAAGCGGATTATTCATTTGTGCTGCTTGAATTGAGGAAGTTTTAAGCTGTGTCAGGGCCTGTGTCGGCTTCCTGTGTGGCTGATTGAGTAAAGGAGGAAGTGATTTAACGGAAGGGGAGCACTTCCTTTTAACGTCTCCACTCTTCCCTGTCTGTTCGCAGTCACGTTCAGAAGAAAAGACCCTCTTGGATCACTGACACCTGAGAATACAAACAGAATCTGCCTGCCTATAACTTTGGCTGCCTATCCTCATAGGCAGCTTCTTCTCTGGTGACTCAACAACAACTCATAGTCTTTACAACGGTAAGATCCATTGTTGTCTTATAATACATTTATATATATCTATTCTTAATATTTCATATTTTGTTGGCTGTTATGTTACAGAGGCACTGGCTATGTAACAGGAAGGTAGTTTAAACCGAGGCCTTTCAACTAATGTCCAAAATGGTTTTGGGTGTTTCGGCCTGTTTACAGTAAATCAAGTGTATTTAACGCTACTGTGGGGCGTATGCTGTAAACAGGGGTTAACTGTAACTATTTAGCAGTAAAACTACTTCAATGTTAACACAAAACAAAAAAGTCTACAGCAGGTATGGGTAAAGTACACACCTGGGGCTAGAATCAGCCTGCAGACTACCTCAGGTCACTCACAGTTGCTCTAAAAGGAATATGAAAGGAGGCTACACATGTGTTTTTTTAAATATACATGAATCATACAACTTTAGAGTTTGTTGCAAATAACAATGGAGCAGTAATAAGCTGTGTCCAGTGAATTGCTTACCCAGTAGAAGGATTCAAATGCCACCGTCTTGTATTGTAGCTGGGCGTCCTTGTTCTGCTTCGTAGTCTCAGTTAGCTCACCCACTGGAACCATCTCTCTGCCTCCAGCTCGCCGAGGCACTCCACAGTAGAACAAGGACTACTGTCAAGGAGTCTCTGGGGACTGCCACAAAAGTGACCTGATCATCTTACGGGTAGAAAAACAAGAGACAGCAAGGGATGCAAAACAAACAGCAGAGGAATAGCAGCTGTAGGTATAGCTGTAATTTCGTAGGTCATCACTGTTGCATAGTGTGGACTTAAATGTTACTTAAATCTAACACAGTGTAGGTGTCTTGAAGAGTGAAGACTAAATTGTGACCTGATGACAGATCTAAGTGTAAAGTCACACAGATATTAAAGCTGTATTGTCAGGTCATCATGAATGTCTAACCTTTTCTTTTTTTTTTCGCAATCTCTGCCTTAAACAGGCGATCATTTAAACCAATAGGATTCATTCTCTTCAGAGGCTAAGCTGAGACCTGCAGTAAATGTTGTTTCAATTCAGTTGTGACTTATTGAAATATGTCAATCTAGAAAGAAAATCACACACATTGCATGACAAAACAGAGGTCTTTCTACATATAGAGGAAAATCCCCAGAAGAAAATGTGTTTTTAAGGTCTATGTCAGCATCGGCGATGATCCTGTGCAATCATATTATGTATTTTTTGTTATTATCATTAAGGTCAAAGGTTAAAAAACTATCATTCTTCATTGAAAGTTGTTCCAAAATATCTTTTCTGCTTGTCTCAAAAACACAGGGTTTGGTTAGAGAACCAAAGAGAATTCTTATTTTAATTACTTTGTTGGATGTTTCTTATAGCATGGGCTTGTTAAGTAACTATCATGAACTTTCTCTTTGGGAAATAACTTTTGTGGGCTAGGGAAAGGGTCATCGCTGATTTTAGACCTCAAAGAGTTAACCATTTTTTTTAGGTGGGGTTACATTTACTCAACCACAAAATGTGTTTTTGCTCATAAAATTGCTAAAACGGCAGCAAAATGCTCAATTTCGTGTTAAGTAAGGTGATTCATTGCTTCATCTACATGCAAACTAATCTTGGTAAGTGCCTCTGACTCCAAAGGCCTATTTTGAGGAAAAACCCTGCAACAGTTGCATCTTTAATTTTTGGTCTTCATGTTCTGAGGAAAAACAAAAAGAAAAGAAAAGCGTGCTATATGGTAGATGAAGGCACATAATGTGTTTTGCCAGTAGCAGTTTAGGCAGCTGAAATAATTTGCAGCAGCAGGTGGTCCATGTGTCCTGCACCTGTCCTTCATCCGGAGGTTTCTATCCTGCCAAACTCACACAGAAACACTCTGTCACTCAGCGAAGAGGGAAGGAAAGCTCTGCAGGGTGGTGGCAGAGTGCCATTTAAAACAGCTGCATGTGCAAATGTGCAGCGTTTGTTTATGTGAAAGAGCTCACAGGAAAGAGAAAATACATTGTAAGACGAAGAAGAGAATGAGGAGAGCAGCTGCTCCCCTCATTCACATAGTATATGTTTTGATTTAGTACAGGGACACAGTGGTGGAGGTTTAACTATCTTAAGGGAAGTAGTTGCCAGGAAAGCAGATATCATCTTCTTGTTATTGTTTACGGTCTGCAGCTCAGCCTCCTCCTCTTCCTGCAGTCACTCTGTCACTTCTGTTCTGTGCTCGCTGCTGGTCATGAGGAGTCATGAGACATTAACTCTGTGTGCCTTCTTTGTGTCTCAGCTCCTCTCATGCTCACTGAGAATGGATGATACACAGTACGGGGTTCAGATCGGAGAGAACAAGTTCGTCAGCAAGTAAGTCTTCCATCCCGCACTGTTTCTCATATAAACAGACATATACATAAGTATGTTTATACAGATTATAAACTCACAGTAAGTGACAACAGGGAAACAAATGAGTAGCCTTTATTCATCTTTGGTATGTTTAAAAAAACATTAATTTAAAAAAGACGATGTGAAATAGGGATGTTTGTGGTTTTAAAGGTTTCAGCCTGTTAACTGTTTGCAGTGTTCATTATCTGAAATCTAATCTAAAATTTATTTATGACAACAAGTATCCCTAATACCAAACAAACTCTGTGATTTTTGGCTTTTGAAGTCTGACCAATCAGTTAATAAAAATGATAAATAATGCACACTGAAAACTATTAACATTTATTTTTCTCCATAATATAAAGTTACAGTTACTCTGCCTACATGCATATACATTCACTTGTATTGTGAGACTCCTATTTAGGGTTTCAGTATAGAGACATTGAAATATTAAGGGAACAGGACTTCACCTGGTCCTGAAACTGCTTGTCAGTTAATTGTCAAATTACATTTGACTTCTATAAGCATACAAGACACGATATCCTGCCAAGATGACTGAATAATAAACAGCAGTACACAGATCATGTTACCAGTCACTCACAGGGTTAACACAGACAGGAAATCACACACTTGCATCTACTGAAACCCCAAACCTCTCAACAGAAAGCCAAATCAACATTTTATTCACACAGCCAAAGATAAATGTCTTTTCCAAAGTTTTTAATGGTGGCTTTATTAAGCTGATGAGAAAACATCAATTGAAACTGAATCTCAGCCTTACCAAGAACAGACATTAAATGCTTCACTTTAGACATGCTTCTTATCTTACTACACCAAGAAACTGCTACACCCACTTTCCTTCTTCCTCTGTCTGTACATTAAAAAAGAAATGAGCGCTAATGAAAGAAAGGACGGGATCTGAAAATTACACATTAATCTCAATTCTGTGACTTACTTTTAATCCTGATCTCATCTGGTTCTTATCTGGTGGGAAAGAACTTAACTGTAGTAGTGGCTATCAAGTAATGCTAATGGAGAATAAACCTCTAGGAGAAAACTGTGAGAAGATGAAAAATCTGTGAAAATGGCAACATTGTAATTTAAGGTTTGGGTGGGTCACAGAACATTGTCAGATTTGAGATTGGGCAGTTTGTGAATCTCAGGGTTAAACAGGATTGGAATTAATGTTTCAGTCTGCCCCTGCATAAAATACACAATAACACTAATCCAGCAGCAGAGACTGCCCTATCTTTCTCTAAACATATATAAAGTTTTTTTTTAATTAGTTCTTTTTATTTTCGGTCTTACTGACATTGACATTAACAGCATAGTAAGAAATACTTTATTTTCCCCAAAATTCAGGAAATTATACCAAAAGACAACACAAATAGTCACTAAACAGTACTCACAGAGTTCATAAATCAGGAGTTGGATGTTCATTTTTCCAAAGGGTCACATAATGAGTCAGGAATGTTGTGGAGGGCCGCACCAGCATTACACAGGAGGTGAAATATTACTACATGGCTATATTACAACCTGCCCCTGCACAGTGGCATAGAATTACTCTGTAGAATAGTTTTCTTTTTGTTTGCTCATCTCTCAGCTGCCTTCACCACAGAAACTAAGTGAAATCCAAAATTACCAAAGTGGTGATTAAGTGCCAGAAATATTGTCAGTGCAGTGACCTGTATCCAGTGATGTTAGCACCAACTGGTTTTCAGATATATTTGCGTCACTCCATTATGATGATGTTATGCATTTTTGGGATGCATAAAGATCCCCAAAATTTGATCTAGTGTTGTTAAAAGTGTTTTTACACTATGTTGTAGAAATGTGTGCACGGTGCATGCAGAATTACAGCTGCAGGCACTACGAGGTGGTAAATCAGTGGGAATCTCCTTAAAACGTTGTTTCCTTCCAGTGATTTAACTACTTCTGTCTTCAGGTCAACAGTCCTGTCACATCTTAAAACTTACAACCTCTATTATGAAGGGCAGAATCTGCAGCTGCGGCACAGAGAGGTGAGTAATTGCATCTCTCTGTTTGTGTGTGTATGTACTCACATACAGTGTGAGTACACTGTGAGTGAGTACAGAGTGAGTGAGTGAATGTGTTTAATCTTATTTTTTTGTTTTAAATTTCAACAGAAGAACCTGGATGTGTCGAGGCTTCATCCCTGCTTTCACTTTTGCTCTTAATATATTTAATATAATATACCCCACCCATTTCACCCTATATCCCTAAGGAGTAACAACTGTCCAGTCTGTGTGTATTTAGTGTATATGTGTGTTTGTGTATATTGATCAGTATTCGTGTCTTCCAACAGGAAGAAGAGGAACTGATTGTTGAGGGCTTGCTGAATATCTTTTGGGGCCTCCGGCGACCAATCAGGCTACAGATGCAGGATGACCACGAGCGAATCCGGCCGCCCCCCTCCTCCACGTCTTGGCACTCGGGTTGCAATCTGGACAGTCAAGGGTAAGAGCTCCAGACAGATCCAGTTACACCCCAGTGACCGGAAATTGTGATACAGAGAGGTCAGTGAGGGCAGATATAGATTTTATCTAGTTTGTCCAATGAAAGACAAGCAGGTATTTAATGTTTAAAAGTGTGTAATTAGGGTTTGAGATTTAAATCCATGCAAATAGAGTTTAATTCCTAAATAAGATACAAATTGGCAGCTTTCCATAAGCAAAAGTGAATCTTTTAAGCCACACTTCTGGTTTAATTGAGGATCTTACTCCAAGCTATTGCAAATCAGTCCATGTCAATAGGCTCTTAGTGCCATTTTGGATGTTAACATGAAAACAACAACAAAACACCCTCATAAGTAGCCGAATTGCTGTGAGATTCTTCAGAAATTTGCTTGATTATGACAGGAAACATTGTCACAACTCCTAAATAAAAGAACAGCTGCACTGGCAAAGAGGAACAGCAGTCACAAGTTGAAACTAAACAACCCAGATATGACGTATGTAAAACAGCAGGTTAAAAATGGCAGCTACTACAGGAAACCTAATAATAAGACTCACCACTACAGTCAGGACAGACCAGCATGTCGATGGCATCACAAACACATACCAAAGTGAAAAAACAAACTGGTGTTCTCAAGAAAATCTCACAAACTGATCAAGATCTCCCTCTAGATTCATACATGGTGTGGAGGGAGTTTTAGTTCAGCTGTGCAGACCTGGACTGCTCTTAAACTTAATGGCTTTACAGTTTCTTTTATATATGAAAGATTCTAGTGGCTGTTAGTCCACACTAAGATCAATATCAGGATAATAGTTTTTTGAGAAACTGCAGTTTATGGTCATAAATACATGATGGGAGTTATCATTTGAAGGTGCAGTTTTTATCTGAAAAAATATTTTTAGCTGTATGTTTACAGTTTTGACAGTTTGCAGTTCTTCTCCTTCACCCCATAAATGTACTCTCTCCTGTTCCCTGTTTGAAGTTCTCCCACCACCACAGATGGTCAACAGACTCAGCAGAGTTCACCCACAGTGGAAGTGACGCCACCTGACAGCCAACCAGAGGACAACGGTGTGACTGAAGAGGAGGCAGAAGGTAAATTTTGGACTTTCGTTTTATATTTTAAGACTTCAATCATTTAGATTTTAAATATTTCAAGCTGTATCTACATGGTTATAAATAACCAATAAAGTAAGAGTAAAATATTAACCCAAAGGTGTAAATTAGTCTAAATTGCTCATAGGTGTGAATGCGGGAGTGAATGTAAGCGCGAATGGTTGTCTGTCTCTGTGTGTTAGCCCTGCAACAGACTGGCGACCTGTCCAGGCCGTACCCTGCCTCTTGCCCTATGACAGCTGGGATAGGCTCCTGCACCCCCTGTGACTCTGAAAAGGATAAGCGGATGGATGGATAGATAGATTTATCTTATTTTGAACGTGTTTGCTCACACTTCTTTCAGTATTTATAGATTTTTTTTTTGAGCTGTTTCTCAGTTTTTTGCTACCTGTTCTTTTGGTTTTACTCATTTAAACTGTACATTACTCTGTTGGCTATAATGAGGATCGAGTAAGCAGCCTCAAACATCAGTCATATGCTAAGAATATTTTGTTTTTAAACTGGCTGCATCTTGGCGAAAAAAAGTTGGATCGCATTAAGATGAAATGAAATTAGCTATAAACACATTTTTAATTAAAAATAAAATTTGCACATTAAAGCGAAAGACAAAATTTGTTTACAGTTCTGTGTAAGTGATGTTTATTTCTAAAACTATGGTTTTCTTTCACTATTTTGTGATCTTAGCTTAGGGCTAAATGAAAATGTTAAGAACACTGAATAATAATCAGTAATTTAAGGTGGTTCAACATTTGATTTGACAGAGGACAGTGAGAGCTCCGCTCAGCTCCTCAGGACAAAGAGCGATGCCGGGGTCTTAAGGAGAGGCCAGCGAAGGTCACCAAGTGACCAGAGGAAAATCCGACGCCATCGATTCTCCATCAACGGACACTTCTACAACCATAAAGTAAAACTTTTAAAAACTTACAGAATAATCAAATAAAATTCATTAGGTTAGTTTATTTATGTGACGCTTTAAAGCAAATGATTTGGGAACAGGTTTTAGTTACATTTTTCTTGAGAAAATGTGTTTAAAAGTGAAAAGAGTAAAAGTTTTAGCTTCAACAATTTTAACTGAACCTAAATTAATATTTAAAATATTAATATTTAAAATGTTTTTCCATTCCATCCTCAGACAGCAGTGTTTACGCCTGCTTACGGGTCGGTGACTAACGTTCGCATCAACAGCTGTATGACCACGCCGCAGGTGCTACGAGTTCTCCTTAACAAGTTCAAAATCGAAAACAGCCCAGATGATTTTGCACTCTATCTGGTCCATGCTAGTGGAGGTGAGTTAAGACTTTAGCCGTAGTCCACTAATTTTATTTTATCTAATTTTATCATCTACTTTTAGACTTTTAGTTTTATTACTTTTAAAGTTGGACGTTTTTGCATTATTCCTGGTGGTGCAATCAAATCTGAACTAAAGCTACAACACAGAGCTTCTCTATAAAGCTTCGTAGCTGAAAATGCTACGTCAAGATGAACAGGATCAACCTTTTGGGTCTCTATAAAGCTTATAATTTATTTTTTATTTTTTTTAGAGGCCTTTGATATTTGGAAACTCAACACAGAATCTGTGTTGTCATTATTCCATTTCTGTTCACTCACTGGGTTTTCTGAGCTGAAAGAAACACATTGCAGTCAGTAATCAAACAGCAATTAGCAGAAGTGTAACTGAAAAGTAATGATGCTTTCAAAATGATGATGAAGATGTATGATGAGATTGCAGATTATGTTGTGGTAACAAATGGCAAACTACCCCACACACAACTGAGTGCTCTTGCTGTTTGTTTTTGATTAAGTTCTGCATCAGATCCAGCTGTAAAGTCTGAATGTCAGTGCTAAATTATTCATGAACTAATTGGCTATGTGGATTACAAATATGGATATGTGTCATGTAGCCCAAGGCAAACAATGTGAGTGAGGACATTGTGTATAAAATGTGTTATTGTTATTAATCCATCACTCCATGTATGTTCTGGTGTTTCAGAGCGCGTGAAACTGAAGCGGACTGACTATCCTATGTTGCTGAGAGTCATGCAGGGACCGTGTGAGCAAGTCTGCAAAATATTCCTCATGGAAGAAGATCTCGGAGAAGAAGTCACATATGATGTAAATCACCATTTTCTTTTTTCATAGCTATAAATGAACATGTATTAATTATTTTACAGTTACTTTTTCCTTGTAAAACGAATAAAGTATATGCACAAGTATTTGCACTTGTGTTTCCAATATTCAATTATCTTTTGGGATTCGGCCTTAAAATTCTCTTTGCTTCCACAAGGTGGCGCAGTATATCAAGTTTGAGATGCCTGTCCTCCAGAGTTTCATCACCAAGCTAAAGGAAGAGGAGGACAGAGAGGTGCAGAAACTCAGGAGAAGGTATAAGAAATACATTTTTAATCTGTCCTGGCATTCAGTAAACATAATCTTAACATCTTTAACTTTTATGAGCTGCAATAAATATGAAAAGTGGAGACCTACAAGCTATTTTTAAACTATTTTTAGCCCACCACCTGCCCCCAGTCTAATGTGGGGGATGTGCATGTGTTTTTATTGGCTCTTAAAAAAAATCCTCAGACTTGGTCTTCCTCTGCCTTCATACTTGCAGGTATAACTATATTCGGAATATAATCGAGAAGCAGCTCCAGTGTCTTCCAGAGGGGGCAAAGTGTATGTGATCTGCTCATGGCAGGGCCCCCTAACCCCACACCAAACTGTCACCACAGCTGCCAAGCCGTGACCAAGAGAATGACCAAGAATCAGCTGACAAGAGCAACAAGTACATGTTTCACCAACTGTCCTCCCTCAGCACATCCCACAATCAGTCAGCCCACAGTTTGCTTTTTCGTGCACGTGTTGAGTGTGACCATCTCTGTGATACTGAGAGCCATGGCAACACACACACTTTTTTTTTTTCTTTGCTTTTCTTTACCATGAACAGAGCACTCGGACAAACGTCTCCTGTTTGTGTTTTTTGACCTTTTTTTAGTCTGTTAGCCTGCAAGATGAGGCTAAAATGTAACCCGTCTTCTGCCTTCTCTGCAGGAAATATTCAAAATCGTTTTAAAGCACAAATGTCATCTTATAGTGACTATATAGGTTTCTCCAAGCACAAAACACACAAAGTTGGTGGGATACTTTGAAGCTGATGTAAACATTTAGGACCTTTTTCATTTCATTGATGTGAAATCTTTTTATTGCCACTGCAGGCTGTGATAATGCAGTTACACACAGTATTTGGCGTTTTACGTGTAGGCAGCATGTAAGACTGAGAATCACAGGGAACAACCATCCTGTAAATGTGGAGTGGTCTGACGGTGACAAAAATGAACCTTACATATTTCATTAAATGTAATGCATAAAAAGCCCAAGTGAAAAAGTATGGAAAAGTGATTCCTGCATATCAAGCCCCCAAAACTTCAACTGCCATGTTTATGTTTGGTGGCACCGGTCTTTGTCCTGCTTACTGAGTTTTAAATGAGATCTGGTGACATTGAAGCCAAACTCTCAGCATGAAGTTAGATCCAGAAGTTCCCCAAAATAACAGACTATTCCTTGGAATAATGCAACTTTTTTGAGCTGCTTGTTTTGTTCCTACACACATTAATGTCTTACTCTAAAGGTTTGCCGGACGTTAACCAGATTGCACAAAATCTTCATGTTTTGTTTTCATTTTGGTTTAGGTTTTTTTTTTTTTTTAGTTTTTTTGACATCTACATCCAGCAGAGACAAGAAGCACAAAACGATAATCCCACAAGACTGTGAATTTTACGGAGAATGTTTTTAAACGTACGAACGAGCATTTCTAAGCAGTGCGGTTTGCCTCCACATGTACAGCACTTTGTCTCCTTCCGCCTGACAGTTCAGTATTTCTGACACGCAGTGGACGACGCCCCGAAGATTGTGTGAGAGCATGCATGTTGTGTTTTTTGTGACTCCTAAGACTTGCCTGCTTTTGTATTGTGTCTTTTACAAAGTAAAGAAGAAATTTTAGCCTTTAAAGTGTTAACTCTTGCCACTACTTTGTGGAAGTTTTCGTACAATGTTTGTTATTTAATAAAAAATTTGTCTGGGGAAAATGAACTTGTAGTTCTCATCCGTTTTTGTTGCAGTCACTGTTACCTAACGATGCTGAATTCGTTTGCAGTGGCAGATGATGGCAGAAGCTTCGGGAGAGCTCGCTGAACGTTCTGGTTTGTTTACTCAGAGAGTTAAATAATTCAGATAAAATTAGAAACGCAAATGTTAAGCCCGCGCTCTCAGGTATTTATGCATGATGTCGGCAGCACCAGCAGCTTATTGCAGTCAGCCAATGAGGTGATTGAGATTGTCTGACGGATAACAGGCTGGCCCTGAAACATACTTTCCCACAGACAAGAAGAGGAGTCTGAGCTGTGAACATCACTTTTGGCTTCAGCTTCCCAAAGAGGAATACCATCCAAATCTCTGCCACACAAAAAAATATTAATTTTGCAGGTAAGACTTTTTTATTTCTATTTTTTCTCTTTTTTCTTCATGTTACTAATTTATATTAAAATGTGGGATGTTTATTGTATGAGGCTCAGTGAGTTAAAGCCTTTTGTTCTTATTTCTGGGATATTTTAAAAAATAGTTGCACAGATTAGAGCTTATCTCTAGAAAGTGTAGCTGTAATCTGAGAGTCACTGGATTATTCTCAAACTAATTGACCCAGTGTAATTATAGCTCGAGTTACCTTGTAAGAGGACACAGATTAGAGAGTGTACACCGCCTGTTGACAGAGCTAATGATGTCATGGTCATATAATCAGTGGTGGGACATGTATTTCATTTCTTTGTAAAAGAATTAGTAGTACTATACAAAGTAATGTAATATAAAAGTTGCATACAGCGTACAAAGACTGTGGTATTTGTCAAATCCTAATTCTCAAGCAACACATGGTTGTACTAATTACAATTAATATGAATGCTTCTCAAGGTACAAACAAGGATTATAATAAATAAAAAGTCAAATCTAAGTTCTCTTTTAATCATGGATACTTAATAATAATATGTAAAACCAACCTGGATTTATAGACTGAATGGTTGATAAAAGAGAATTTAAGTGGAGCGGATTAAACTTTGCTTTAAATTGGATTTAAAGTTTGAAAAACAGAGGTAGTTATGATTCAGTGATAGCAATCCTTATTAGTGGATTGGTGTTATCGATGCTCTAATATGTGAGCTATCCTTCAGTGACGCAGTTGGTCAAGGTGAAACTGCTTTAGGGGTTTTAAATACTGGAGAGTATTTCTTAAAACTCTATAACATACTTATTAAAATGATCTATTTAAATCCTCATCCAGAGAAGACGTAATTAAAATAAAGCTGGTGAATAAAAGTAAAAAGTACAATATTTCTTTTTAAAATGTGTCAGAGTGCATGTGCAAAGTAGCATTAAAAAACCCACTCAATGTAGTCATGCATACATCAAAAGTGTACAGATTTGAGTAAATGTTTTGACGCAAGCGTATTTCTGCCACAGAAAAACAGAAATTGCCACCCACTTTTATCTCAATATTTCAACATGATTCAATATTTCAAGTTGAGTTATTAAAATTTTGAGATACTTTTTAGTGACACAAACAAGTCACTAACTCTAATGTTAGTCCTCATGTTCACCTCATTACTGAGATTATTATTAGATACAGGACCTGCTTAGACTTCACAGTACTTAAAAATACACTTGTCCTACCACACTGTATATAAAGTACAATCTTCACTAATATTTTGTTAGTACGGATTATAGCAGTGACATTCTTAATGCAAGATGTTTTTACTAGGTTTTTGGTTTTTTTGGAGTTTACATCATTTAATGTTGGATATTTTATAATAATATATCTATAATATTGTATTTATGGTGCATAGCCTACACCTAAACCTCATATATGTAAATGTAGCCTGGATGTTTGTTAATACATTATTTTTATAGCCTGTGTCATCTTTCTCTAATTCTTTTTACATGGTTAGCTTATGTCTTAGCCTGTCCATAATTTGGGATTAGGTCAAAAATAGTCAGATTTCAGAATTAAGAAAATATGAATTCCATCCCAACAAAAACGAGCTAATCCATAGATTTAGAAACAGACCCCATCTACAGGATCCTAACTGAGGTGCATTAGAAAATATGAGTCTGATCTGATCCCTTGTCTGCACTCATGCCACAGTGCTTGTGTAAGCTTTGTTTCTCAAAGATGGATTAAGAGCAGTGATCTGTGCTGTTCCTAATTCATCAGCAGTGTAATAATACCACACAGCAGGACTAAAGCTGCACTGAGAACATCTCATCAGTGTGTTTGTGTGAGTTCAAGAACCTTTCCATTTTATATAATGTATAAAGTATAGTTTAAAAAAAATAAATTGCTTTAAGTACTCACCAGTAATTCAAGTAGTAATAATGCAAATAAATATTTTCTCTTTAAATGATTTAAAAGAAATCCTTGGTTGGTACTTGTTGGGTAATTATGTTACTATGTATAGTCTAAAACAGCAACAGCAGAAACAAAAATTAGATTTTCCTGTTTATAATAACAAAATGAATACATCATTTTTTAAATGCCAATGACAGAACAAAGCTGAGCAAAAAAATTAACAGCACAACTGAAAGATGATGTAACATGTAATAGAAGTAAAAGCAAGTCTATAAAAATGTAAAAGCGATTACTAATGAAGTTCATTAATCTCATTAACCAATTCAGTCCTAATAAAGTTT